TGTAATGAATTGTTCTTCTAATTGCTTTTGATAAAGCGTTCCTATTGCCAATATGTTACGTAATTGTTTTTATTTTGTCCAGATGACATTGTCATTCGCATCCTCCAAACACAATTGTGTTTAATAATGCTGTTAGCTGGAATTTAATCTGAAAAACTTTATACTTACCATTACAATAGTATGTAAAAAGTATTTATCTGTGTTAACATGAGGAAAAAATCATTTTATTGTTAATAATAATAATAAATTAATAGAATATTGATATATACAAATAAATCACAAGAAACAATCCAAAGGCAGCATACCGTATGACAAAACATGAATTAATACATAAAGTGGTTACATATTATTCAAAATGATCAATATTTATCAATATCAACTCATAGGAAACATTTTATTGTGATAAATCTTTCAGCCCTAAATGAAAATAGACATTGTTAATGTAAATCACAGCGCACTCTGCTGGTTAAACCTCACAGTGAAACCAATATAATACTTTATGCATTGTTTTTATCATTCTATAACGCAGGTTTCCACACGTCATGGAAAACCTTTTGGGGACTAGTTTTCCAGTCATGGAAACACCTGGAATTTGCTTAAAATGACCAAAAATCCATCCTGGAAATAATAAATAAATATCGGCACATATCCGCTAACATACGCCGACACGGATATATCTGTGATGGGTTCTAGTGCTGATTTAACATGTATGTTGTTTGTGTTCTGGCCCACAGAGGAGCGGGAGGAGCCCTCAGAGGGACTCTCGTACCGACAGCAGGAGTCACACCTTTGTCAACAGATGAAACTCGCCACTGTATCTCAAGGGCAAGAGTCCGCAGCAGGCTGGTTCCAGGAAGAAACCGCCACATGTAGCACCGCACAACCTTGCCCAGGTCAGAACCGTTGAGTCCGCGGTGTGGCGGCGGGAGAGTTAATGATACCGTGCGACTGTCGGGGGCTTCATACGCCCTGAAATGGTCTAATGTTTGGCAACGTGTTCTTCTCTCTCAGACCAGCAGCAGTATGCCAGCAATGAGTCAAAGCTTCCAGACCCCAACCGGATCCGCTCCCGCGTCCCGCCCAACATGCCAAAGCTTTTCATCCCTTCCACCGTCACCAAGTTCCCACCAGAAATCACAGTAACGCCTCCGACACCCACACTCCTCTCCCCCAAAGGCAGCATCTCAGAGGAAACCAAACAAAGACTGAAGGTATGTGAGTGTCTGTGTGAGCGGGCTGGGTACCGAACCAACCATCGAGTGTCCATAAATCAGCTAGCCACTGCAGCTAACCTGTATGTGTACGACGGTGACTGTTCACCATAACGTCCACCGGCCCATCCTCCCCTCGCCACCGCAGGGATGGAGAACCTTTAGTCGGGGCGGAGCGCGTTTCTGACGGCAAAAGTTGACACAGTGACTGTTTGTCAGATCAGGGCAAGCTGCTCTTTAGCACAGAGAAAGTAAGAGGTGTCACTCAAAACCTGGAAATTTAGAGACTAATTTTCCAGTCATGGAAACACCTGGAAATTATTAAACTGCAGAAATATCCTGGAAATAATCTGTTGTCCTGGAAAATTTTAAATTGGATTCTAGCCCTGACTCAGATCTACGCCTCAGATCGCTGACGTATTTAGACAGGAACCGGTACCCAGCCCTACCCAAGCACCTGTGTTTAAACTGTAATCTGCTCTAACACTCACCAGCGCCCCCTGCTGTCTCCTCCCACACAGAACGTCATCCTGTCATCTCAGTCCGCAGCCACGGTCAAAAAGGACACTCTGAGCCAGCCGGCGCTGGAGGTGCAGGAGACGTCCAGCCAGGAGTCGTCTCTGGAGAGCGAGTCGGACGAAGAGGAGGACGATTACATGGACATCTGAGCCCGCCGAGACTGAACGAGCACTCTGCCAAACCCCGCGCCCCCGTCTTTAAAAAGGAATGGTACACGTCACTGCAGCTGTCTTTGTTGATGCTATTGCTCCCTCATGTGCATTATTAAAAAAAAAAGCTCCCAAACTGAAGAAAATGCAGTATTCTCCTCGCCTGTCGTGACAGACGGCGGTGGCTTTAGTCTCACAGCATGTCTGTAATGTGCCATTTATGCATATCACACATCTGCACCCAACTGGACCTGGCGACACAGAGCTTTTTAAGCCAACCGGTCTCGTGTTTATGCATCTTTTTCTTTACGTGGTGTGCTGACCGTACCTCCGAGCTGCAGCCGAGTCCTCGTCTGAGAGCCCGTCTGAGCTGCCGCAGTGTGGACCGACGCTCAGCCGCATGAACCTGCTGTCCTCAACTCTGATCTGTTTTTCTTTGGCATGAGAATTTCATCCTGCGACACGCACTGCTTCGGTACGCGATGTATTTCAATGAACACGGAGGTGAAGGACCGTCGGCTGCGTTCGAGGTTCGTCTGCGGAGCCTCTCAACCTGTAGCAGATTGGAAATGTTTACACTCAACATTGGGGATGTCTTTCAGCTAGCACTTCACTTTGTGCTACTTTTGTACTCTGTATTTCTTGTAATATTTTGTCTTATATATATATATATTTTTTTTTTCTTTTCTTTTGGTGTGCATTTGTAGCTAAGAGGAGCAGTTCTTACCAGGAAGACGTCCTGTCACCAGCACTGATCTGAATTTTGTGGAACGGGGTTTCAGTTGTTATGAATTAGCTTTTGTACGTGTCATAATCCAAGTATCTTTCCAACACGTCTGGCTTTAATGGGTCGAGTATTAAGCTGGAGGAGCGTGTGTGAGGCGAGGGTCGCACGCGGAGGGAGACTCTGATACTGATGCCTTTCCATTGAAACCATTTTGGTAAATTTGTCACAATTCTAGCTGAACTCAGAGGAAGACAACAGAATGTTTTTTACAGGTTGTTTTCTATAAAAAAAGAGAGATATTTACTGATTGTGTTTCTTGAAAGCTGTCTAAAACTCCTTTTTAAAAAGTGAACACAAATGAATAATTGTTAACTATCACCCTTGGTATAAAGAAACGGTTTTGTATTTTGTTTTATTCTTTTTGTTTTTTTGGTGTAAGATAGTTTTCTATAATTGTTCTGTTGAGCTTCTGGGAATGTACCACAGCTAAAGAGGGACCGGCCCGGCCCCCCGCCCCCCCGGCTCAGGCTGCCGGAGGGGAACTGTTCTCTATGTCTGGACTGAATGCATTATAGATGTCAAACCAAAAATATATTTGAGAAACACCTGTTTTGTTCTGTGTGCTACTTAAATGAGCAGATCTGCATAAAATGTTCTCCACAGGGTTCCCTCGCTCCGTCTGTGGTCTGTGTGAAGTCACAGCAGTACTCCACCTGAGGGGCCACTTTACTAACGCCACCTGTGACTAACTGCTTTATTAGACCCGTGGTCTGCAGGGTCTTAAAAACTCTAAATATTCCAATAAAAAAGTCTCCAATTTTCAGAATTATTATATAAAGTTATATTTTCAGTCTCATCTTTTAAAAATTTCAAAGTTTTGTCCTTTATATCCTTCATACACGTACTTTTTATAGCAGATTAGATGTGAAATATGTCTTAAATGTAACCTGCAGAAACCCTGCTGTGGACACATGACTCTGTATCTCCTCCTCAAGGTGAGTACAGTAACAGTTAATGTCTTCATACTGCGAGGGTTCACAATCTGTGTTGCATGTTTTGGAGCAGATGGGGCCGAACAGTAATGTGGGTTTATGGTCTTTTATAATTAAGGTCAGATAAATGTGAGCAGTTGCTCATTAAACATTAACAGGGTGTTAACACACACAGTTGTTACAGGTATAATGTTTAATGAAGGTGGACTGAATGCACAAGCTAGCAGTAAATATTGTTGAAGTATGAATTATTAATGCATTAAAAACTGTTTTTATACAAACATACGACAGTAACATCCAACCAACATGTTTAACATACAGGGACGACTGACTGGGGCCCCTGGGGACCGAGGTTGTTATAGATCATTAAAGCTAGGAGTGTTAACTGAAATAAAAACAAAAACTAGACCTACTTGTGTACTTAATATAAAAATATACAAGAAATATCTTTAATTTTAGTCTTTTAGTCTGTTTCATTAAATGTGAAACATTTACAAAAAACAAGCATGAGGAGGCGTTGGTGTTTATAGACTGTGAGTCAGTGTGTTTGTGTTGTAATATCTGTTCTGAACTAATGAACCTCCATTATAATAAAAAGAACTGAAACTAAACTAAACTTTTCAAACAATTAAAAACTAAATAAAGCAAACTTACTCTAACTAAACAGAATTCAATTAAAAACTAAATATAATCCTATAAAAGCTCTGCTGTGGGGCCCACAAATAAACTCCTGTAAAACAACAATCACAGCACAATGTTAACATTTCTTTTCAACACATTTGTAGTTATTTATTTAATATCAAATTAAATATAATTATGTTAGGAAAGTTAAAAGTTAATACACAAAGTGCAAATACAGCAGATCAGGAAATCTGTCTCCTCTAATATGAGTCATTATAAACAAACTGGAATGATGGAGTGAACCAGGATCAGTTCACTAGGAAAGGATGAATGCGTTCTTTTTCCTTATTCCCGCAGGTAAAAGTGGCTTAAAACACAACTCAGACACACAAAGAGGTGAAGGACAGCTGTCTCACTCAACAAAGAATATAAAGAATATTCACTTTCTTTTTTGAATGACATGAACATTAATTTAGTTTTATTTAGAGTCATTTCTGATTTATGTAGCCCAAAGTCACAAACACTGGCTCAAAGGGTTTAATTTAGTTCAGTTGAGTTAGTAAAATTAAAATAAACTAAAATAAACTAAGTTTAGTTTAGTTTTAGTAAGTTTAATTTGCTTTGGTTTTTACTAAGTTTAGTTTAGTTGCACAATAATACAAATCAAAATGCAAACAATCAGAGCCCACCCATTTTAGCAAAAATATAAACATAAAAAAATTGCATTGTGACAAAGAATACAAACTAAACAAAATAACACAGCATAAACAGCCTCTATACACACACACACACACACACAAGCATAAACAGTAAAAGTAAGGAATAAAACAGAAGAAACAAACCTATTTATACAACCAAAGAAACATAAGGTTCAAGATGAAATGAAGATAAATATTTCAGTGTTATATTTAATGAAATCCATCACTGTGGATCTCCACATTTCACAAGTTAAATAAATTATTTATTCTAGTTAAATAAGGGTGAATGATAAGAAAAAAATCCTTTAACAGAACATTTGGAAAGTTATTTGTAAAATCTTGCTTTAAAATCATTTTGCAGTCTAGAATAAATATGAAGCGTCTTCCTCTGGCCACCAGGCCTCCAGCGGACCACCCCGCTGACCACATTGACTTTGTGGTCAAAGGGCTCGTACACGCTGGTGTGAAGTCTACGACACGAGGGAAGTCATTAGTCTTCATTAGCAACTTCCAGGAGTTTCTTATGAAGTGCTGTGAAGTTGTCATTTGCCCCCTTTGCCAGGCAAGCTAGATCTGAGGTTTGTTTTCTTATGTGGGGGGCCAAATGTGAGCTCACCCGGCCCCTGTAGCCGGTTGCATGTGAGATCACGGTCACTCCGGAGTTAGGATGGGGACGGCAGACAGGAAAAGGGTTTGTTTTTCTTATAACCTCAGTGAAAATTATCAATTAAAATACCTTAATAAATTCTGATTTGTTGAGTTCTGGGTCTGAATCCTCTAATCACAACTCTCAGAGCAAAAAAAGAAACCAAATCCTAATCCAGCAGTTGTCAGGTAAAGTCCTTTCTCCTGCCATGTGACATGTTGTTTCCAGCCATGGGGCTGCTATCTCCACAAACCCCTCAAAGTGGCCAATTAAGCATCAAAAGGGCATGCTGCATGGCTAATGTGAGCGAAAGGTGTGAGATTTCTCGTCAGTCCGCTGCGGGGGGCTCTTTATTGGGCTGCTGGAGAGCCGTCTGATCCCCGGCCCTGGCTGTATATTGGCAGCTGTTAACTGGTGAGCACAAGGGGATCTGTGCAGTTAAAGCAAATGGCCAAAGACTGACACCTGGGAGGTGGAACGTCACTGCTGAAGGTGATCATGGGAGTGGACGCAGGGAGGAAGACCATAGTGGAATCAGACCGGAGATGTTGGGCTGCAGTCCTGAAGGATTCTTCCTGTCAACCCTCATTAATTATTCTGTAATATTTCAGCAACTGGAGCACAAAAAACATACAGTAATATAACAGAACATAACTGACTCGTACAAATACAGCAATTTTCTATAATTAAAATAAGTTTTTTGCTTTAATTTGATGTAAAATCTTGGCATTTTTGGGGCTTTTTAGTGTTTAATTAAAGATATTCCCCAGGCAAAAACTGCTATAATACAAATAATCAGGCTTGAATTTACAGCAGAGTGCTGTTATTGCTCTGTTGTTATTTGAATCTGAATTTTAAGTTATAGAACTGTAATAAGAGTAATTATCTGTGTAATTACAGTAATAATTGCTGTTTTCACTGATAAAAACTGATAGTTTACCAATGCTTATACACTGATAAAAACATTTATTCAACGTTTCATTAAGAAAACTTCCATAATTATACAAGATATCTCCCACTCACTAATTTTACATACTTTTAAAATTAATTAAGAGTATTAAACTTGAATTTAATAATTTAATCTAATAAATAAATAGGAAATATCTTCAAAAAAGTATAGATTTGTGTATGTATTTTAACCTTTTTATGTGAAACGGTTACATTAGACATGTAAATTCACAGGCGGTTTTTGTAATTTTATTAATATTTCATGTTTTGTATGTAGAAAATACAGAAACAAATCTGTAAAATAAACGGTAAAAACCTGTAAACTTACAGATATTTTTTTTACAGTGTACTCCTGGAACCTGAGGAGCCTTCATGCGGTATATTTAGATCTTTTAACAAAATGTTTTTAGTTAGCAGCCCCTATCAATCTCCTCCAGATGAACTCCCTGATGTGTCAGATCCAAATCGCCCCAGGCTGCTGCTGTTACATAAGCTCCCTGTCATGCCTCTCTTCCCCTGTGCCACGTTCTGAGGCCTTTACCAGTCACACCTGTCACCTCCAGACCCAGTGCGTAATGGGATTGACACTGCTGCTGCTGAAATGTACACCTCAGACCTGACACTCTGCTGCTAGAGCTCAAGAGTCCTGCAGAGAATTAACCATCAGAATCTCTTTATGTTCCCACCGTTCTCCCTCTCAGAGCTGCGGGACCTCTCGTGTAAGCCCGGGATCCCAAACCACCGGGGGCCCATTTCCAGCCCTCCGACCTCTGACATGATGTTTTTTTGTATTATTATTGTTCTAGTTGTTTCATATTAATTTAAAATACCCTTTCATACACAACTAAAAACAAGGACGATGTAAAATGCAGAAACTGCTCACTAATGGAAATATGTTCAGAATATTGCACTTTCTGCTCGTACTTTAACGTTGAAGTGGCCCTCCTGTGAGATCAATTTGAGACCCCTCCTTTAAGGGCCCCCCCCCATGCAGGCCCAGAGGAGAGGCTCTAAGTGAGGAGAGCCACACTGAACCTGTGATTAATAACTCCTTGGCAACAATTGGTTTCACATAAGGAGGATAAAAACACATCGCACTTCCTCAAGGCCAATGTTGTTGGGGTGGGGGAGGCAGGAGGGGGGAGTGCTGGGAGAGTCGGGGGGCATTTAATGCGAGTAAATGATTGTGCAGAGATCTCTGTAAGTGCATCATTACAAGCTGAATGTTATTATCCTTTTTATTCCGCATTGACCCCCGCGCTCAAATCGCCTTGTCAATATTTTTGCAGGGAAGACTCTCTGGCTCTCTTTATGCACCTAACTGCTGATTCTGCAGAGCGCCGCGCTGCCTGCACTGCACACATCGCCTTTACAATGACAGAGAATTACTTAGAAATGCCCTTAAACTACACCACTTCTCATAACGTCTTGGTTTGGCCTTTAATGAAAATATGAGCTGTTCAGAGGCAAGAAAATCATCAGTGTCAGGAGAGCGGAGGAAAATCACATTTCCCCCAGGTTTATTAACATTTTCTAAACTTTATGACTGATTTATGGGCTCAGTTTTAATGTATGCTGCTGGAGTGCGGGGTTTTAAGGATATCCCTGATAATACCATCCAGAGTCGAATGAAGTCCAATCACCGCAACTTTTCCACAAATTTGACCAATTTTTGGTGGTTTCCTGCACAAAAAGTTGAGCCATGCGTCACCAAACTCACTTCCTCGTTTGTAGTTGTGAAGATGCAGACCACACAGACAAGGTTTCACATTTACACTCCAAAAAGTGTGATTTTATTCTCACCTGAAGGCCATTTTTAATGAATTATACAAAAGAAAACTGAACTATTTTTGCAATTTTCACTTTCTCACACAGTTTTATTGCAACAAAAGGCAACATGCATCACAAGTTTTCTGAAAAGCAGCCGTGAAATGAGGCCTTTTAAGCTGCAACAATCCCAGAAGAAGCCTGTGAAATCCAGGAGGGACTGATAAACTGCTAAGTGGGCTATTGAAGGGGACGTGGGACGGGAGAAAGGCTGAGTAATGAGGTCTTTAACTGGGAAAGAGCACACAGTCGTCCTCAGACAATAGATGTCTGTTTTCCTTTTCTGGTTCACATTTTATCTTCTGGAAACATTTCCAGTAAAATATAAATATAGTTAAACAAAGTACGGGACAATGGAAAAGAGAAGATTTTGGTAAAAGCCAAAGCACAGAAACCCAAGGAAGATTAGTACACAGAACCATTTATAAAAGTCCCAGTGTTCTCCGTTCAGAACTGATAACAAACAGCAGCATTTACAGGTACAGATTTTGGTCTCATTAGATTTATAGAAAATGCAAATAAGACAGAGAGCACTGTATCCAACATAAAGCAACATTTCTGCCTATGAAATCTTTTTCAGAATAAGAATCAGAAATACTTTATTTATTGTTCCCAGCGAGGATATCGGGTCATGTTACAGTTGCTCAAGTTGCTAAACAATGAGAAATGATAAGAAAAGTATATATATACTATACGTGGCTATATATAAAAGTAAATATGTGCATTATGTTACTATATATCATATAATAAGGAATGTAAAACTTTCCCATGCTAATGTCCCCCACATAGCATTAGCATATGGTTAGCCCCCATTGACAAGAATATGATAATACTACCTTATTGTTCCTTACTTTTATTAAGGCAATAATAATTACATTGTATTGTAAAGACAGACAATATAATTACAATATATAAAAAAATAGAAAGTAATGCATGTAAAAATACATAAAGTACAACATATAACAACAGTGTAATAAATCTGACTTTGTGTAACTGCACATTATGATTTGTATGGAAGCCCACAGGGGAAAAAGGATTCTGTAAG